TACAAACATATGAATAACGTATTTATGTCATGTTTATGAAAACACCTTCGCAAATAATGCATTATTTTAAAAGAAATTTGGTTAGCATAAAAAAGGTTATGGTGAGCCAATGTTAAAAGATAGACATATGCTGTCGCGGACTTTTTTTAGAACTTTTAAAGAGGAACAATTCTGTCATACATGATTTTTGCGAAACTTTAACCGTTTACGCAGCGGAAGCTCTCAAAAGGAAAAAAAAAAACATTTTGAAACATTATTTATTGGTGCTCCGCTCCTATTGGCCTTAACGTGATAATATATAGCCTATAGCCTTCCTCCATAAATGGGTTATCTCACACTGAAATAATTTTTCAAATCGGACCAGTAGTTCCTGAGATTAGCACATTCAAGCAAACAAAACAAATAAACTCTTCAACTTTATAATCTTGGTATAGATTAAAATCAAATTAATGAACTGCGAACGGCACATTTTTTAGAACCGCCTCCCCCCTCCTCCTTTATTATACCCCTCCCTCCGCCTTATTAGTGAACGTACTTTATGATTTTATGAACGACTCCTAAGCGCGGAATACATATTATTTGATTTGAAAGCAAATTGACCGAATTTCGACCACATGCAATTTGTGATTTGAATGAATAGGTACTTTCAACTCCGTCTAGGAGTTCCTGAATGTTGTGTTAGTTTCAAAGCTGACTATCCAATGTTTACAGTAGACATACTTTTCTTATAAATCGTAAGTGCATGCACACGTACCAAATTACCAAGTATTTTTGAAAACTACAAATAATTTAAATTTCCAAATAATAAAAGGAATGACTTCATTATGAAAGCCATCGTGTTCCGCACCAACACTAGAAAGCGGCGCCTATTTTGACAAATGCCGCCAAAGAACAATGTTCTGTGTTTCAATAATTATCGTTGGAACGCGTATAGGTACCTACAAGAAAAGGCACTACACAGGCGACCGGTAATTCCCAAGTTTAAAGCTTTGGATGGCACTTGTACCACGTTCGAATATTAAGAAGTCAAAAAAAATCATTCAAAAGGACCGCCTTCCGCCGCGGTTCAACTTTACAAACCGAAATCGAAATTGTTTCACGATGCACCTGTAAAATCACCTAATACATTCATGAGAGGTAAGTGTATATGTATATGGTATATGTTTCAAACAGAGATGTAATTTATATGAAATACTTAAAAAATACCTATGTTTATCCTTCGTTTAAATACTTTTCCAAGAAAAGCATTTTGTATTTTATTTAAAATACTTTTCCAAATCTATTTTCTGTTTGTAAAAGGCAAAATACATTTTTGCCGTTAAAAGTTTTGTTAGTATCATCGATTAAACATTATATAAAATGATCAATGAAAGCTGTTCACATTAGTCATTGAAGGTATTAACAACTTAAAACGGAGACAAAGAGACATTCCATGAATGCGTTCTAATTCTTTAATTGAAGAGAGCCCAAAAAATTCTAAACTCCTGAGAAATGGATAATCTAAAATATTGGGTCGATATTGTTTTCCGGGTTCAATGTTATGGAATTTTGAAGTTGAAATTGATATCAGCACCTGCCAAATCAGGAAAGAACTACGAAATTCTATGAATTAAGAAAAAACAGACCGCAAAACAATATCAAATTGATACACCAGCTGTGTAAAACTGAAAACTACAAGATACTGTGGTGTGCTAATGGAATGCGTATAATCCAAAATTCTTAGAAAACGCTTCCAAAAACTTCACTTATTTGATGAACCCAAAGGTAAAGAAACTATAGATTCCATTTCTTTCTTTTATTGGAATGTGTAAGTGATCAAAAACAGAATGGGGTTGTAAATATTTTGATATAAAATGATTTATGGTGATTTTACATCAATAAAATTATTTACAACCCTATTTTGGCTCTGATCTTTCACACTAAGTAAATTATTTTGAAACGGTAACAGTCAAATAAGGAAGCATATAGAACAATTATTTATTGCTGAACTGAAGAAACTATAACATAAAGATAGAAAAACTATATCTCAATCACTTCAAACAGAAAAACATTAATCTAGATCTACTATTTGTTTATCTGGGTAGGTATCTAGATATGTGCATGGTTCTGTTCAGCATAATATACAGTACGAAGATTATCAGAAACATAAGCATCCGTATTTGTAATTTATATTTACCGTATTGCATATTTTTAACTGTCATCGACATCATATCAATGTAGTTAAACGCCTGCTTATATTTCTTACTATTGTTAATTAAGTACGAGACGGACTCACCTTTTTTCAAGCCCCCATTGGTACCTATTTATTCATGTTTGTAAAAAGTCCAACACTTCACCACTACATTTACTATAACACAAATTATGTCAGAATTTACTAAAGTATCTATTATGTACCAATCATTAGCAAACTATTAAACGTTGAAATAATTTTTTGCAACCGACTCTGACACGTGGACAACACGCCACACCGAGTCAAACCGTTAAAGTTTCGCGTTAAGTAACAATCGAACAAAAAACAAAGTGCAAACTTTAGATAATTCTAACTTGATTTTAACGAAATAACAGGCGTTATTCATTTGTGTTTTCTAACGCATTTATTAAATTAATATGATAATCCACACAGACATTTATAAATTATCATGTCACGTATTATAACCATAGATTATGGCAGATGAAAATTTAAACAAAATGGGTGCGTCTACGTTTGCGCATTAAAAAGTACATTCAACAGTGATCAGGGCCGTATTAAATAATATTATGAATTGAAATTATAGAAATACAGCGTAAAATTTTTTTAACGAAACTCTTTATTACAAAAAACATATAACGTAGACGTTGCCTACTTAATAGATATGATTAGTAAAAAAAAACAAAGCATTGCTTCAATTTTTAATACATGTTATAAAAAGAGATAGCACATTAAGTTCATCATCATAATTTTGATTAGGCATTAGGCAATAAGCACTTAAAAATAAAAATTATTTTTAAAGATTGTACCTATAAAAGTTGTTAATATAGAAACAATCTATATATATAAGAAATAAACATCCCATTCCATTATAAAATAATAATTATTGTAAATGTATGGCGCTAAAACAAATTTTAATTGCATATTCAATATGCACAAGTGTAAGGAATAATACGTACTATTATTATATCATCGCGGTTTATTAATTATTATAATTAAGATATATTGTATTCCAAACAGGTAGAATTCTGATGGGACCACTATAATTCATTTTATAACTGCCGTAAAATATCCGTTATACCGAACCTTGTAATTGCTTATTCAGCTGTAGGTATGTAGCAGAAGTTCGTAGGTAATACCTATAAAAACAAAAAAATAAAAGAACAACATTTCCTGTTGTTTTAAAATGAAACTTAATATTATCATATAATTTTTCGACTTATTGTAAGTACCTGAATTAATTTTACCTAATTACTTAAATGCTGAACAGCAAAAAAAAACAATCGAATTGTAGACAACAATACAATTACAGAATGACAGTGCTTTGTTGATCTAATTTAAAAAAATCTTTTCAAGTACAATATATCGGAATAAGTCGTGCCTTAGGTGCAATTCAACTTAAAAGAAACAATAGCAAAGGGCGGAGATATTTTACATTCAGCGTTGATATAAAACATGTATCAACCGTGGTCAACTTTAAATTTCAAGGTGGTCCCTTGTCTTGTTCAAATTATCAAAGGCATAGCACCGCAACACTTGCAGGCTATTAAAATATTGAAGAGACAGTTTGAATTATTAAAATACTGTTTTAATGCTTCCTCTTTAGGACGACTACCTTCTTTTTATTCAATAATTTCGTTATAGGGTATTGTATGGTACCATTTTGCATTTTAATAGGTACCACTTTTACAAATGGCATTTAACAATAATTCAATAATGAAATTATAAATTTCAAATAAATGTTATTTAGATCTCCAAACCAATAAATAAGAAGCAAAACTTTTTATTAAGTAAATAATGAAATAAAACCAACCACATTGCTTTGTTATTAAAAGTTATAAATAAAAGACAAAACTCGTCAACTTAATTTTATAATAGTACCTACTATATATAAGCATCTATTATTTATCGATTTTGTAAGAGCAAATACATAGGTACATATAAGTAGAGGACGCCAAAGAAGTTCGTAATTTTCTTGAACGTGGTGAGGTAGTTTGTCATATCTTGAAATAATGACTCCGAAGGGGCGTAGCATGGTCAGAGATCCTGAGTACATGTGTTTTTGTCACATAATAGATAGTATATCTTAAGAGGGCGTAGTTTACGCCATTTGTCATAAGCAGAGAACGATATCTAGAAGCTTTCTATTATTACTGTCTTTCGATGTTCGAAAGTACGATTAAGAAGGCAGAAACTGCCAATATTTATTACTTGAGAATTTTATTAATTTTAAATTACCTAAAGTCCTAGAAAGTGCAAGAATTAAGTTTGTTGAATTTATAAATAATAATAGGAAATTTCTCGATGGTAGACAGAAGTTAAAAACTAAACGCAAAAATTAAATTATATGAAGTCAGACGTCAACAAACATTAAAATCAACCTATTCTTTATAACTATTTTAAGCAATTTGTTCATAATTTTTAACCAATTATACTTGTATTAATAACTAATCAAATTGTGTAAAGTAAAAATATACCACTGATGTCGTATACAGTAACCACATTTTCATTTTCTACTTCATGAAAGAACTATGGTTGCTTTTGACGTTTAAATCTTCTTGTAACCTATAATATTTATACTATTTATATGACGTCAGACGACAACAAACATTAAAATCGCCTTTTTGTTTATTGCTTTATTTTCAGCAGTTTATAATTTTTAATCAATTTACATTTATCAATAAATAATTAAATTATGTAACCGTAAAAAGTATAACACTGGTGTCGTATATCGTAACCACATTTTTATTTTATACTTCACAAAAAATCTATGGTTTCTTTTGACGTTTAAATATGGTTTAAATTTTCTTATAACCTATAATAATTCTGTATAGTTAATCAATATCTATGTGGTGGTAATATATAAAAATTTAAATGTTTTCTGCCAAGTTTTTCTTATATAATAAAATCTGGTAACATTTATATAAATATGCGAACCGCTTCAATGATTCGTTGCATTCACGGTAATTAAAAAATTAGGCCAGTAAATTTTAGAATCGTAAAATGAAATACGTTTGCGATCATGATAATAGCGAGAGTGAGGACGAAAAATTTTTACTTGACGACAATAACACTGAAAAACATACACACTGTAAACGTTGTGATATTAAGAATGGTTTCTTAAATTGCAAAATACAAGATAAACCTCTCAGCTGGTTAGCAAACAGTAATGGCAACATGAAAAACCATTATGTGCCTGTGACTAATTTAATTGATAGAGAAGATAACAATGAAAGCGGTTTCAGAAGTCTCAACATGCCTTTACTATTGAATGTGGGTGATAATTTCTTTTAATTAGTTTATGCTAATGTATGTGCATTTTCAGGGAAATTTAGAAGACAGAAATGATGATCAAACAGAGTACCACTGTCATTCTAATTCAACCACTTATAATAACTCTGGTGCATGGAAAAAACTTATAATTGTATCTATAATATGCATCATACTAATGGTCAGTACCGTTCAGTTTTCTTCGACATATCATATTATTCTTTAATGTCTTGTAGATAACAGAACTAACTGGTGGATGTATAGCTGGAAGTTTAGCAGTTATGACTGATGCTGCTCATTTACTTACTGATCTCATTGGCTTTTGTATATCAATTATATCATTGTGGCTTAGCAACAGAGTACCTAACAAAACTATGACCTTTGGTTATTCTCGGACTGAAGTAATTGGAGCCTTTTTAAGGTAATACCAAACAGTTTTTGAAAGCTTCATGTAATTTATTATCAACTGTTACAGTGTTTTAACAGTGTGGTTACTTGCTGGAGTATTTTGTTACTTGGCTTTACATAGACTGTTTCGAAGAGAATTTGATATTGATGCCGATACCATGCTTATAGTAGCTTCAATTGGAGTTGTGATCAATGTTGTGTAAGTGTACATCTTTATGGTTATATTTGAAACTCAGAAATATTGGTACATTTTACTTTAAAAGAATTTAAGTTACATACTTTCAATTTCAATCAATAATATCAGTTTTCCTGCATTAAAAACATTCTTTGTTTCAAATTAATCACAGTCGTAAACCTTAATCGCGTATTTTATCATGGTCATCAATTATGTTGTGTAATTGATTGAATAATCAATTCAATGAACATTAATTAGAAAAGGAATGAAAAAATAATATTCATGTAAATTACATTTATTATCTTTACCTTTCACGTTACATAGATTACCTATCTCATACATAAAGTTAAAAATGATAAGGAAAGCGTTTAATTATAAAATGGATTATATGTAATCCAATGAGCTCTCTGTTGTTCGTTTTCAGATTTGTGACTTGTAAATAACGATTTATAAACATCAGAAGCATTGGGGTCTTTGGCAACACTATAACAAGCCTTCATCTTCTTTGTGGATTCATCATTAATTAAATTTCGTGGTCTTTTAAGAGTAGCAGCAACTACTTTTGGTTTTTCAACATTCTCATTGGCAGAACTTTTGCCTGCATTCGTAACACTATTTTTGGCAGGCTCAGTTTCTTCACATTTGGTAGCTTCGATCTCCTTCTTGATTTCTTTTTTCTTTTCTTTGTCCTTCTTATTCTTTTGTTTCCTTAATTCTATTCTAGACCTCATTAGAACCATATCTTCTTCAGTACCATTTAGTACTACCACATCATCTTCAGTAAATGGCATCAAACATTTATGACATGTAGAAGTACTTATCTCCTTCAGGGCTCGTTCTGAAAACACGCATCCACAAGTCCATAGTGCAACAAAACGGAATTTCCCCGACATTTCTAAACCAATAACGGGGCATATGTAAGGAGCTCCTCGTGTATCAACGCTTCCATCCTTTTTGTCATCCCCTGACACAAATTCAGGATTGGGAGTTAAGTTGAGATTCCTCACATCTTTGAGACTTTTTATATGTCTTACACTATCAGGCAGACTGTCCCTATTTAACAAGGCTTCGATTAGAGGCAGCTTACTGTACAAATGCCCCATACCACACATAACTATTGGCTCTTGCAACAATAACTGCGTGAGAAAACAATGACGCCATTGGAAAGCAAGTTCAGAATCTTTATCTTTCGCTTCGGGCTTCTTTTTTACTCTTACCAATTCATCTCTACGAGGAATTGTACCACCATCACACCCCATTTTAGATTTTTAATCGTCAAAACTTGATAAGTTTTTTTTTTTTTATTGTAAAATTTTCAAAACTCGGGGAAACAAGACGAAGTTGTCACTTTGACAGCTAACAGTATTCTTCTTTTTCTTATTCGTTGTATTTTGTACATATCCCCATTTAGCCACTAAACGTCTACAACCTTAATTACACAAGCGTGAAAAAAGTTGCCTACCCGGCTATATTATAATTGCATAAAATTATTTGAAGTAAATTACGATAATAGTAAAATTTTACTTTACAGGATGGCTTCGGTTCTTCATGGATTTTGCCACGGTCATGGTCACACTCATGGACCTATTATATCGAACACTAAAGAAAATATAAATGTGAGAGCTGCTGCAGCTCATGTGATTGGTGATCTTTGTCAAAGTTTGGGAGTTTTTTTAGCCGCGATTATTATAAAGGTGTACCCTGAAGCTCAAGCGGCCGACCCAATTTGCACCTTATTATTTTCAGTTGTAGCTATATATGCCACCTTTAAAATTGCTCGGGATGTAGGAAAAATTCTATTAGAAGCGAGTCCCGAAGATGTGGGAAACTTAATGCAGTTGCTGAAGAACATTCCCGGGGTTAAGCATGTTCACGAAATGCATGTGTGGTCCTTAGCTCCAGGAAGAGAAGTTCTAAATGTACATTTGGCTGTGGGTAAGGGCAGCTTTTTGAAACACTCTTTTACAAAATATTCAGAAATCAATTCATGTAAACTCTTCATATCTGCACAATTTCCTGTATGGAAGGCCAGGCCACAACTGTTATGCGAAGGTTTGAAAGTTGGCATTACATTTAATTAATAATTAATTACATGTCAAAGAAAGCATCGTTATTCGATGTGTTTGATATTCTGTGTATCACCTATATAAAGCAATCTAATCAAAATCTAGGCCCACAGAAATATTTATTTTTGCACGAACCATTTCAAGCACTTTTTAATACCCCTATAACTTTTGTCCCTATAAGTTAAAGACTTAAATTTTTAATTAAATAAAACCCCATAGTTATCTAAAAACTATAATTTCTTACTTTTTGCACTACTAAGAACTACATTTCCATGCAGGGGCGGCTCTAAGGCAGTTCAACTGCACCGGGCTCTAACTTTTAGCAGTGTCGAGATCTAATGGACTCTACCGAAAAAAACTATAACTATTTGAACTTTCAGTCTGAAATTTTTTATCTGGGAGCGCAAGTAGGAGATTTTTCACCATCTTGAAATTGCTTAAGGGCTGTCACTGATATTGCTTAATATTTTTAATAATTTTTGTCCGTTATTTTTCAGACAAAAATTGTGATAGAGACGTAATCCTTGAACAAGCTGGAAATCTTATCAACATAAAAACGAGTATTATTAGTTCATCTATACAAATTGAAAAATATAATCCTGATGTTATCAGCAATTGTAATCAGTGTCAGATTTTAGCAAGTTAACGAAAACTACAGTATGGACAGAATTTATATGTATATCTTTTTACGTTCCATTTCTCATTGATTAGTTAGAGTGTTAGAGATTTGTTTTAACCCTGTCGGTGTTGTATTTTCGATTCAAAATAGTTAATTACATTTTTATTTAATGTATTTTTTGGAGAATGTCCAGAAAATGGTGTTTGTTAAAGTTATTATTTTAAATTCTTTTTCACGTTCCGTGATATAGAATAAGCTTNAAACGGTTCCTAAGTCATTTTAAAAATAAGATAACCCAAACTATTTCCTGTGTTGTTAAGTATTCTATGTTTTTGTTGTTTTGACTGTCAGTATTTATTTTATAAAGTATTATAATCATATATGATGGGTATTAAACTGATATTATGCTTGATAAGACGGCGTGTATTATTTCTAATTAATCTGACAGAAAAAAAAAAAAGCTAAAATAATTTTTTTATTCCTTCAAAGAGAAAAACGTTAGCAATGTATGAAATTTATCAACAAATGTCATATGGCGATAAGCTCACGCCGGATATCTCACTCACATTTTTACAAGAAGCAGGTACATAGTATCAAAATACTAAAGTTGTTCTGATGAAAGTTTCAAATCCATAAGATAATGGGATTCGATTCTCAATGACCATTAAGAAACAGTAAATAGAGTATCAAAGTATAAACTAAACTAACATCAAAAATTCCACTCATATGAGCTTATTTCTAGGTCATTAAGCCTTTGAATTGTTTCTAAATCCGCAACTTCGTCTAAAATTTAAAGTTATTATTTTAACAAAATAATTCCTGAAATGATCATATGTGCTATTTAGTACAACAATAAAATAATAATTACCCGGGTTATAAGCAACTTTATCGCTTAAGGGTATTGCTGGTTTAAGTAGGTGGGGTAAAGATAATCCTCGACGATGTACCTTCATATAGGAATGTGTTAACAGTTGACTCGCTGATGGCCGATGTGATGGTTCACGTTGCAAACAAAGAGCTGCTATCTGGTGTAGACCTTCACTGAACCGTCTATTTGCTTGATTCAATGTATATCCTAAATGTAAAGTATTTGATATGAGGTTTACAATACATATTCTCCTATTTATTGTTACTTTTACCATTAATTTCATCATTTTCCTCAATAGGTATTGTGGCAGAGTCTAATAATTGGGGTGCTGCCCCTCTAACTTTTTCTATAAGCATTAATGTAATAGGCATTCCTGCAAAAGGTTCCGTACCATTTGCAAGTTCACACAATACTACACCAATGCTGTAAATATCTGATTTTTCATTGTATCCTGAAAACAGTTGGTCAAGCTTTTATGAACTAAAAGTAATAAAAAGTAAATATAACCCTGTAGATTTTGTTCAAGAACTTCAGGTCCCAGCCAATTTAAATTCTCCATGGTGCTCTCAGGAAATGAATGTATCTGTTTCTGCCATTTACCATTATAAATAATGGGGCAACTGTATCGTAAACCTGATAAACATACATGTCCGGTCTGTGATATAAGTATATGACTGGCCCTTAATGCCCTAAAGAATCACCAATTGTTTTAGGTATTAACACAAACTAATGATATTACCTGTGAATAAAACCCTTTTTGTGTATATAATCTAATCCCTCAAGAACATCCTTAATAATAATAGCTATAGCACTTTCTGGTAAACCTAGAAAGATGGAACATTAATTTACATTTTAAATAATAAAAATAATAATAAACCTTCAATGAAGTGGGTGTTAAGTAAGTCTCTACATGAACCAAATTCCATGAGTGGGCTTATCACACACACCTCTTGGTCAATGACATAAGAAACAAAGTAAGGTAAAATATTCGAATGTTGAAGCTGTCTAGTTAAAATTACTTCTTGCTAAAAGATTCAAACTTTATCTTGGTATCTATACAAAAACGGGATATATCCTGAATATACCTGTATTAAATTAGCATGTTTTGCTTTATCCATGTTAAATTTTTTCAAAGCAACAAGCTTTTGAGAAGGAACATGTTTAGCCAAGTACACTATAGCCAATCCATTGCAGCATTCTCCCAAAATGGAGAGTTTTTTGTAATAAGAATTGTCTGGCTGATAAGTCACCATTTTATAGGGCCCAAATCACTTTTGTGTTCGACATAGGTGTTCGATTTTCTTCAGAGAAATCAAAAACTTTTCACATTTATGATCTAGTCCAGGCATGCATAACTCTAAAGTTTATTTTCAACTATACATTTACTTTACTTTTTTTTGTTTGGGTTAAATAATAATACCTATAAAGATAAAAAGATACCTACTGTTTTTCGTAAATTTATTTTTTATAAAAGGATCACGAGTTTGTAGGTTAGTTTTATCATTTATTAGTATCAAGTAAATAACATGTATATAACCTCAACAGCTTTGTATTTGTAGAATTATTTTATTCAAATCACAAATAAATACAAGACATTTTAAAAATTATTGGCTATATAAGTATCACAGTTCTTCTTTATTTAATTTACTATCGGAATCATTATTATCTTTACATAACTTTGATTCTACACTACAAACTTGTTTAATGACGTCTTTGGTCCCTTCTTTTATGTGATTAATTACATTTTCTTCGTATTCTTCAAATACAGATTTACACTAAAATAGTGATGGTTAAATATGTATGCTAATAAAAGGGGCTTTTTCTGCTTACATAAAATTCCAAACTTTTATTTAGGTCTTCGTCTTGTATTAAATCTACTTCAGTTATATCAGAGTTCATATTTCCACTGGAATCAAACATTTTAAGAAGAGTAAGCTGCCCATTTGACTTCCATCTAGCCCTGACATAATTTTCCATGGTTCCACATATTTCTTCAATCATGTCAGAAATAAATATTTCTGATTGCATTTGTGGTATTGTTTTTTTCTGAAGATTCCCTGCACTGTCAAATTTATATCCACCAACATCTTCTGTTTTCGAAGGATCCACTTTTTTGAGCTTATCGTTTAATTCTTTTATACTTGCTTTACATACTAAACAGACAATTATTTATTTTTATGCAATACATTTGAATGATTTTCAAACATAAATTTTCTACATACCTAAACACTTAACTTCATTTCCAATAACATCTTCATTTATTATACTATATTCTCCTTCAGGTCCATAGGAATTTGATTTTATTTTAATCACCAAAGAGTTTATAATACTAATTAAAAAAACGATATGAAAAAACATTTTCGAAAAATACCTAGCTTTGTACCTAATTAATAGCACACTGAAGTAATAGGTATAACTCTGATACTGTTATTTTAATACAAAATAAATCACTTACAAATGGTATTACACGTACTAGTTTCACATTGGTTGCTTCTGTTATCTACACGTCCCCAGGTGTATGTAGTAATAATTATTCAATAAATAATGTAGTATTTATTATTATTGTTTAGTATCTTCTAATCTACTTATACAAAAGGAAGCATGGTAAAAACAATCCAATTTCCTAACATTAGTTAATTTATAAACCATGTTAACACTCATAGGCCCTTATTTCCTTACACAATTAATTATATTCATCATATCGTTTTCATTTTAAAAATGTAATGTTTATTCGAAACCCGCCAAGTTTTAAATAAAGTACTTAAAGCGCCATCACTTTATTTTTAACGAAGTAACACATACAGCCAAAAAGTAATAATTAAGGGGGCGTCCGGTTAGTTTTTAAATTTTAATGTTCAAATTTCAAAGATTTCATAAAAATGAATATACCTGATAATTATGTTTTTGTGTGAAAAATTATTTTCTTTTTGGTTTAACATGTTCGTACATTTGTACGGTGAAAATAATAATGTTAAAGTAACGCATGACGGAACTCTCCATTTACAACAATCGACTCGCCCAAACAAGCTTCTGCGATTTTCTGACCAGCCAGTCGCTAATCGGTTGCGGTAGGAGAAGGTTAATAACAGAATGACTCAATTTTTTAATGTGCTAAATATTCCAATAAAATTGAGATTTCTTTATAAAAATCGTATAGAGTTGTTAGTTCATAAGAGTGAACAGTGCAGAGCAACTAATTACGAAAGAAATTTAGTCACAAGAGCTATTTTAGGGTAAGCAACATACTTGATATTGATATTCACATCTAAAAGAGTTTTAATGGTAAATTAGAGTTATTTGCTTATTATTTAAGTTATTATCATGCTTTTTAATGTTTGTTTACATAGCAGTATTTTTCGTTGCGACTACTGATGCTAGATTCAAGAGTGAACTCTATTCAAACATATGTATCTTATACTACTAAATTAGTAAACGATTTAAAAGAAAATACGAAAATGTAATAAAAATTAACTGATGTTTGTAGTACTCGCCGACGTTGCGGATACTTGACCTGGCAACCGTGCACAGCATGTTATAAATGATAGCATGATAGTATTATGATACAAGTTGGCAACTTCTTACGTTGAATGTGGTAAATTTAGAAGATTTGTAGATATTACTTCCTCGGACTAATTTTTCTGCTCGAATATTTATTATTAAAATCCGACAACAATTAATTCCAAATATGTTGGTGAACAAACAAATATTTTATGTAATCCGGGTCGTACATTTTATACTTTGTTTACTGCGCTCGTTGTAAGCAATAATCAACCTTACTTCCAATCACACTACAAGTTACGAAGCTGCGATTCTTCCGTAACTGCACCACTGTGTTCGTCTTGCTCTTTACCCTTCCACCGTCATATCGATCTTAGCGTTATCCAATGACGAGCCTGGGCTTGGTGATCGCGGGAGCAAATTCTGTACGTGCAACGTTGCCAATAATACCGTTCGCCTACCCACAAAGAAGGTAGTGAAAGTTAGTCTAGCGTCAGTATTAGCAATGACAACACTGTACAGATCAAAGCATAAAGAACTTGTCGAGAGCACCGGATTTTAGTTGCTTTAAAATACATATACAATAAGTTTGCAGTACGTACTCTTATAAATTATAATGTACAATTATATTGAACATTTTAATTGCACGCTAGATCATTTTATTTTTAACAATATACATACTATTACTTATTAGGCTTGTATATTGTTACATATTTATGTGATCTTCAAAGAACTTCAATTTTTAAATATTATGTCACCTGAGTCGGAAGATGTTCTTTTATGTTTTGCATGCGCGTGGTTATTTTTATTTCGTATTCCAAATGTTGTAAAACCAAATTAATGTTTGTGTATTAAGTATATAGCCTAGAGAGTTTCACTTTATTATTATTATGACAAAAGTTGCCTAAATATGTTTCATTTGATTGAATATTTTTAGCTTTCTATAGCTTTTTTATATCAAGGTCATTTGTGAAAGCACGTAATCAACATTTGAATATAATAATTTTGACTGTAATAATAACCGCATCCACGTACACATGTTACACATTTTATATATGTATAGGCACAACAAAAACACTAGAAATATGAAAAAGTACCTTTTTTTTCATTAACCTAAATAATGTCTAAATAATTCCTTATCATAGGTATTTAAAAATTACATTGCCCAAGAAAAAGTTTAAAAGCCAACTACCTACTTCGTAAATATTGTAATTGTTGACAGTGATAACGCGTAACCCCTTCATAAACAGTAGAAATCAACGTAACCGCCCTCAACCAATGACGTTATTTCATGTAGGCGTGACTACACATGATCAGCTGAAATTAGGAGATAGCCGCTTTGTTTTTTGTATAATTATTTTCTTATTATGTTTATTTAATCAATAAAACAAAAAGCGATTATGTATTAATTCGTAGGTATACTTTTGTACGAAAATAATTAAATTAATTGCCTATTATATATATTAAAGTTCTTATATTGTATTAAAGATTAGGCCTAGGGAAATTAGTAGGTGACACTGTTGCCATTTTTTAATGTTATAACAGGTATCTAATTCTTATGTCACATCTAGTGCGGTGTTAACCTATTTTTTTTTTGACATTGCTGTTATTCATCTTAAAAAATCAATTTAATGATATTAGGCATTTTAGCTCATGTTTATTAATGTTTCCAATTCAAAAAGATTAGTACACAGGTTACGTTAGGTTAGGCTATGTACTTAATTGTAAGTACTACTATTATTTAATATTTTTTTAATTTCAACTAGGTTCAAGATTTTTTTTTAAATGCCTTCAAGTTTTAAAGTTTGTAAGGTAACTAAGTTTTTTGTTTTGCAGCTGCTTCAATGTGAATTGAAATGAAACGTTTGCGTGTTGATGAAACGTCAAAAGAAGGAAGTGGACCTCCGTTGAGTGGAAGTTTGTATCATCGTCAGACGTTATCAAATAGTGGCGGTACAGCAGCATATCCAAATTCTGGAACAGTGAAAGTGGTCAGTGAGGGTATGCAATCGGGTATATATCCGCCAGCTACCCCGATATGTTACGGGGTGATGCCTGCCGCCGCGACACCCCACGCGGTGAAAGCCCAAGCAGTTCAATCGATGTCGATGTCCGGACACTCGCAGATGCGTTCGAAGGGTGCTTCTCCACCAACGGCACCTCCCCAGCAGCCGGCACCCCAGCCACAACAACAATCGCCAGGAGGTGGAGGCGGAACCCCCTTTCAAAGACTTAAGGTCGAGGATGCTCTCTCGTACCTCGATCAAGTTAAGTACAAGTTCGGTTCGCAACCGCAAGTGTACAACGACTTCCTGGACATTATGAAAGAATTCAAAAGTCAATCCATAGACACGCCAGGGGTGATACAACGCGTTTCAAACCTCTTCAGGGGCTTTCCCGACCTCATAGTTGGTTTTAATACCTTTCTGCCGCCTGGTTACAAAATCGAAGTGCAAAAAAATGAGCAAGGATATGCGTTCCAAGTGTCAGTGAGTATGCCAAGCCCCACCACAGGGACCATGCCCCCGGATCCTCAACAACAGAAACCTGCAATGATTTTCTCCGGGTCCGGCACGATAATACACAGTAATATGTCCGCCCACAGTCAACCCATAACCGTACCACCGTCGCAACAACCCCTTTCGCTGTCATCACACATGCCCACGGTGACAGGTCCACAGGCCGCTGCTGCTGCACCACCCGTTACATCCGTTTTACATCATTCGAGCGGATACGGAAGTGGTGGAGGACCCCCGGGTCCTGGGGGTGGAAGTGTGGGAGGCGGGGCAACCGGTGGGACTTTGCCAGTTCATAACAATTCCACCCACAATGCAATCACTCTGTCTGCTGCTCAGGCTGCTGTTAACCAAGCTCTGGGGCATGCCGAGGCTCCCCAAAATCAGCCCGTGGAGTTTAATCACGCAATAAATTACGTGAATAAAATAAAGGTAAGATATATTAAGGGTAATAGTAGTAATAGTATAGTGCTTATGAACAGTGAGGCTCGTATTTTAACGCAAATTGCTATTATCATTTATCAATTTTTCCCACACACTTTATTTTTTTAAATTATTGAAATAATTCCGGCTTGTAAATATAGCAGAAATATTTAATACTAAGAGGAATTATATATCGATCAACAATAAGAGTTAGAAAGGGGTTTTTAATTTGATTTTTTTAGATATGATAAACGCTGGGTACTGACTGTTATAATAACATTCAAAATAAGTAGACGATACTTTTTCTCAGAAGCATTTCATTTTTATTGTTTTTCTTTATACCAGTAGGTATACATATTTTTTTATTTATTACTTATGTACCAGTAAAAAATTTTACATGAAAGTAAAATCTGCCGAGGTAATAAGTTACCTATTTGCACGTTTGGATTACTTAAAACTATTAGAAAAATTACTAAAAGCTTATACATACTTCAATTTAACAATTTCAAAATCTTATTATAGATTCTCATAATGAAATAAAAGTACCTAATCATTTATATATAATTTAAAAATAATATTTGTCCTTACAAAATATAATAATTTAAACATCTAAACTTCTCATGTCTCGACAAAACAGTTAAATAAACTCAGTATACTATTACTACAATACTATTATTTCCATAAACTGTTATACGTTTGATAATTAACTAATTTTTATAAAAACGAAGTGCACTGATTCAATCATACTAATTACATAAATACACTTTTTTTTTATCGTAAACCAAGTGCAACTTCAGGTTTGATATTTTGAGAATATAGATACTAGCTTGCACCAAAATTTGTAAAGTACAGTTGCGTTGGGGAGGGGAAGTCATACTTCATGTTTCAAAAATTTTGTTCACAAAAAGTTTATAAATATTCACTTATAAAATAAACAGGTACGCTAAAAACAAAATATATGAATCAAACTTTTGGATCATGCATTTTTAATAAATAACTGTCTTAATAGACGAAGCCTTTTGAAGGTCAACTAATCATATGTATGCACATACATAAGTATATCGTAAAGTTTGGTAGTTAATTATTTTAGTTTTTATACTGTAAGATTATTTTTTTATTATTTTTTGCCGTTTTAATTGCTAATACTAACTAACATGTTAAAATTAGTGCCTAATTTTTAAATGAACGATGCATTTTATTTTAAAACGATGTATACATTCTAAATTTCGTGTTATTCATTTTCTTAAATCTGTTTAGTTAATTGAAATTCCCGCCCACTTGGGCATTGTTGTCACAACCATAAAATTATTCATATTAAAGGTAAATTAATTTACTTCAAATTTGCACGAGGTTTTAAAATGTGTACGTTATTTGTTAATTGAACTTTATAAAACAGATTAATTGATTTTCATTTATCTAAGAAATTTACAATTTTCAATCCTCCGTTAAGGGCGAAATAAATTACTGTAGGTGCATACATAAATAATTTTTTGAGTATTTTTTTGGTAGGTATGTCAGTATTAATAAATAATTGTTTGGGTGTTATTACGAAATATGAATACGTATGTTTTTAGTTTTTTTAGGCTTTGCAATTATTTTAAATGTGCATGGATAAAATAATATAAATGTGGCAATGCGGCAAAACAGATTGATTCATCCCGGAGGCAATAAGGTCGAGTTTTGCAGGCGGTCTCATTCGTCGCGTCTCACTCTTGCCGCGAGTGCGCATAACATTTTGTCTCATTTTATTTAAATATAACTGCGCATTTATAAGTCGTGTTGTTTATTGTTTGAATATTTCTTGGCGGCATTTAATTGTGCCCTTTTTTCGTTATTAGTTTCTAAAAAAGGAATTAAAACAATGTGTAAATAATACATTACTATAAACAAAATTTTCAATTTTATCCATACCTAAGTATCTATTAAAAAAAATGGCACATCATCTCACATCAGCTCATAAAAGGTCTATCGTCTAAATGATCTGAGAGTATGTTTGATAAGAAAAAATGTATGCAGGTATTTTATTTGGATACCCAAAGGTCTCTCCGTAACGTGAACTTGTCAATATGCAAAAGATGAGCAAACGTGATGATAGACCGTAATCTCAAACAATATTTAAAGTAAAAAACATTATTTATTTATTTCTTTATTTATTTACATGATAATCGAGGTTACCTTGTTTTAACTCAATAAACCTGTTGAATGTAATCTTACGAAATTTGATTATCGTAAGTGTTTTTTATTGTATAAAAAACTGATATAATATTTTCAGTGTACATTCGACGAAAAAGCGTGACATCTTTTGAGTTTCCTATTAAAGAAATGTAAAAAGGTGATCTTATTACCGTTATGAAATTTTGTTGTCGATCCGTCTGATCGTATGTCACTAGTGTTATTATCTACTAGCTATCCTACTTTTATTCCATACGAAGAATTTTTATTTTCACAAAAGGGGCCCAAAATTAGTGGAAGGATCGAAATTTAAAATTGAGATTCACGGGTCGGTCATACGAAAAGTTTCTCTGTACACTTTTCCAAACACTTTTTTTAATTTATAATTTAAAAGTATATTCTTTCTAATTTGTATCCAAAATACTTCTCTTTCGTTACTCATTTCTAAAATTTTTTAGACCTACAAATTCATTAATTATTGAAAACGAACAAGTAAAAGAAAACATTTAATAAAGCGAAATCTGTTTGATTTTTAGTTAATTATATTTTGCAAAAACTTCCTTTCTATCCACAGAATCGCTTCCAAGGACAGCCTGAAAAATACAAACGTTTCCTAGAAATTTTACATACCTACCAAAAGGAACAGCGAACGTTGAAAGAATCTTCGGGAGGCGGAGGAAATCCAGGCAAACATCTCACTGAACAAGAAGTATACAGCCAAGTGGCTAAATTATTCGAGAATCAGAGTGACCTCTTGGCAGAGTTTGGTCAATTTTTGCCAGACGCCACGAGCCACGCTTCACCGCCTCCGTTGACTGCCGATCATATTCCAAATGCAGCTAAAAAGCAACCCCCGAAACAGATTTATCGGGGCGGCGAGAATATGATCGAGCATCGTCATCATCACGGTGTCTCTCATAAACCTGGACATGTTACTGGACAAGTAAAGAGATCGTCGCCCTATCCAAACTTGACTCATCATCCTCACCATCAGCACCACCCGCAACGAGATGTACCACCTCAGAAAAAACATAAAATATCTTCGTCTTCTTGTCGAGACGTGACCATAGCTGAGGCTGCCAAGTATTGCACTTTAAATGATTACGCTTTTTTTGACAAGGTCCGGAAAGCTCTCAGATCACAAGTGGTCTATGATAATTTCCTCAGGTAATGTTATGACCAAAAGTATGAAAAAAAATATTCTCTCTTCGAAGATATAGGCTGAAAATCAGAAACCATTGACACTGTCCTGTAAATATTACAGTAAAAATAAAATGGACGTTACTTTTGTCTTTCTTTTAGTTTTGAAAAATTTATGTTAAAATAATATTGTTGTATATTTATCTTTTATAGTCTATTAAAAGAAATGTACTTTTCATAGTGCTAAAAAAACATCAATTAAATACATATCTATTTTTGTTTGGTGCGGTTTTAAATCAATTTTTCTTGATTTTTTAATTATTTTTTAAAATAAGTCATATTTATTAACATCCCAACAAGTAATTAATTTTTGCACTTTTTCCGAATTTACTTGCATTGGAGTTTTTATTTTCGTGTTCAATTTCGGTGATAAAAAATAACCTTTTATTATGTTGCAGGTGCCTAACTCTTTTTAATCAGGAGATCGTGTCAAAGAGTGAACTAGTGCAGCTTGTGACACCTTTTTTGGGGAAGTTTCCCGAATTGTTGAGGTGGTTCCGGGAATTTTTAGGTCAGGGCGAAGTGGAGAACATCCCGTATAATATGGTGCGTACTGAACGACCTCAGGGGGAACATGCCGTCGAAATAGATTTATCCACAGCTAAAAGATTAGGCGCTAGTTATTGCATCGTACCTCCATCACAGGTAAAACTCCTTGTTCACTAAATTCAATATTAAATCACTAAAAATGACTTCATTGTTGTTTTAGGAAAGTATGAAATGTTCAGGTCGTACACAGCTCTGCAAAGAAGTATTGAACGATCAGTGGGTGTCATTTCCGACATGGTCTGAAGATAGTACGTTTGTCAGTTCGCGCAAAACACAATATGAAGAATACATGTACCGGTGTGAAGACGAACGTTTCGAACTCGACGTCGTTATCGAGACGAACGCGTCTACTATTCGAGTTTTGGAAGGCGTCCAAAAAAAATTGAATCGAATGAGTCCGGACGAAGTGGCTCGCTATCGCTTAGATGAATGTCTCGGTGGTAGTTCGCCCGTGTTACACCAGAGAGCGCTTAAACGGATTTATGGGGACAAAGCGCATGATATAATCGAAGGTCTGACACGAAACCCTGCCGTAGCGGTGCCTGTGGTGCTGCGCAGACTCAAGGCGAAAGAAGAAGAATGGCGCGAGGCGCAAAAAGGTTTCAACAAGATTTGGCGCGAACAAAACGAAAAGTATTATCTAAAAAGTCTCGACCATCAAGGGATCAATTTCAAGCAGAACGATGTGAAGGCACTGAGGTCAAAGAGTCTCTTCAACGAAATCGAAACGTTGTTTGACGAGGTAAGTTATTAATGACAACGTTATATGTTCGTAGATATATTTATGTACTTCATTTAGCGACATGAACAAAACGAAGAGGGTTCTAGTGAACAAATAACTGGGCCCCACCTTATTATTCCATATCGGGACAAAACAATCTTAGACGATGCGGCTAATCTCCTTATTCATCATGTCAAAAGACAAACAGGGATCCAAAAGGGAGAAAAGAGGCGAATCAAGCATATTCTTCGGCAATTTGTACCAGAAATGTTCTTCCATCCTAAACAGCAACTCAGTGATGACGAGAGAGAAGACGATGGTAAGTAAGCATTGTTATTAAAATCGCCGCAAATGATACAAAAGCCTATTGTATTTGTTGCAGACGAAAAAGAGGAAACAGAAAACGAAAATACCACTATTAATTCGACTGAAGTAAGACCGAAATCGGAAAGTAGTACTAGTCCAGGGAAATCACCAGCACGGGTATCTGACGACGATTGCAAAGACAAGAAGATTATGGACAAAGTGGAAGTGAAAGAAGAAGATGTGAAGGTGCCTTTACATGCACAAACGTCAGACCCAGTACGTTTTACAGTATTTAAGAGTTTATTTATTGTAACAAGTTTATTAGTATTATTTATTTAAAATTAGTATTTTTTGTACTGTTTGATCTAAGCTGTCTATCTTTATTAATAATTCGATGGGCAGTATAAGACGCAGTACTAAATAACTAAACTTGCAAATAATAGAGGTCTTATTTTAATTACGAAATAATTCTTAATATATTTGCTACAGTTAACTTTTTTCTATATGTTGTAGAGGCCGATGGTTAGTTTCGTCTTAAAATGAATCATTTATATTATTTATAAACTACAGAATAACTTATTATATGTATGCTTTCGAAGGTGGAATTCTTGTGAAACATTATTTTAATTTCAATAAAATACATGTGAAATGTTTAGAGGTTTATTCTAAGTAATAGTAATAATAATGGGCAATAACCAAAACAATTTTCGAGTATTTTAGAATAAACCTGTGAATATTTCAGTTGTCTGTGTAACTGAAGAAACATTACTTGCATAAATAGAAATTTATAATCTTTTGATATTTTCTTTTCAGGACGAAGCGTATACAATGTTCATGGCAAACAGTAACTGGTACATTTTTCTAAGGTTACACGCGATTCTGTGCGAACGTTTGGCGAAAATTTACGAGCGTGCAATCGTCCTGGCGGCCGAAGAAGAAGAAGAATGCTTGAATCGTAAAGAAAGTACGGCCGTAGCTCTCCGATTGAAACCGAAGCCCCAAATAGAAGTCGAAGACTATTATCCGGCATTCCTTGACATGGTCAAGAACCTTCTCGACGGTAATATGGATTCCAATGCATACGAGGACACGCTGCGTGAAATGTTCGGTATCCACGCCTATACGGCGTTCACGCTTGACAAAGTAGTTCAATATGCGGTGCGTCAATTGCAACACTGTGTGACGGAACGCACTGCTACTGCGTGCATAGACTTGTATCATCGGGAGCAGAAAAGAGGAGGTACAGGTGGTCCTTGCTTGACCGCGCATAAACGTGCTCATCGCGAACTTGCGTATCAACGTGCAGCTGAAACCGCGATACAGGACGAAAACTGTTTCAAGATATTTATTTATAAAAAGGACTGTAAAATAACTATCGAATTGTTGGACACGGAACCAGCCGACGATGCTAAAAAGAAAGTGGACGACGCAAAAAAATGGAATTCATACAAAGAAAGATATGTAGATGTCTCGGACGTGAAAGTGCCACGTTCGCCAGTTTTTTTACATCGGAATATGAGGATTAAAGAAAAGAAACAGCGGCCTGAAAAATTAAGTGGTAGTAGTAACAATAAAAGTAATTCAGCGTTACCGAACAATTACAAGGAGGAACAGAAAAAACGACTGGCTACAGAAGAAGTGGGCGCGGAATCTGAGGATGGTATGGGGGGTAGTAGCGAAAATAACGGAAGTAGTGGGGGTGGTGGTGATGCTTTGCTCGATGACACGTCAGCGATGACGATCAACGAAGATCTGGACAAAAAGTTGAAAGAGAAGGGTGCACCTGAAAGAAGCGTGACCCATCATCCGGGATACGACGTTTCGGATGAAACGGAATGTAAATTGAATGCCAGTGATTCGAAAATCATGTTTACCGTGAACAAAGACAGTTACCTGTATAAACACAGTGCCTTCTTTAGAGCTAAGCAGGTGAGTTTTTCGTAATTAAAATTTTGTACCGAAAATGGTAAAAATAGATCAACCAAGTAACATTCCTAAACATTATATTATTATTATTACTTTTGATACGCATTGAATCACCGCAGACGAAGTTGTTTTATGCATATTGCGGGAAATATAAAAGTATATTCGGCATTTATTATTCTGAAGAAAAAGAAATAAACAAAAATTGTTAATGTTTGTCCCTATTCACCTCCGAAGATAGGTCATAATAAAATTGTGTTATTTATTTTTATACCGTGGATTTATGAAAAAAATTATGAATTTGAATTTATTACGAAATGTGTACTTTCAATTTGCAAGCATGTTACTATTCGAAACCGAAATGCGACCATTCTCAGTCTATGCCGAGCATTAATTCCAATCCAAACAATTAATGAAGCATTTCCTTCTTGTAAAGGAATTTGTAATTAAATTTCAGATTCCTAATCATAATAGAGTCTTCTACAAGCGAAAACAAATTATGATATAAACTAATAATGAGTAGCGCTAGCCAAAAAGGTTAAGAACTACATTAAATTTAACATGAACGACCCTGTTTAGTAGATGAAATATTAAAAATGACATACTCCATAAATATTCCATTAAACGAAAACAAAAAAAGATATTGTCATTTCATTTGTATAGTTCATTAGATTAAAACATTATTTATTGCTTTTGTAGTCTCATCCATGCGTGACGAAGAAACGCGCGACGAAGTTTAAGACGTGGCTGAAGAAATGGACATCGAAAAATGTGAGTGAAACACAACATAAACAGTGTACGGATTGGTTAATGGGAAGGGGTGAGGGTGTAGTGCCGAATAGGACACGGGTGATGACGAACAATGACTTAACACAAACCCCTTATGTCCCTTACAACAGGTACCGCGTGGAACGACTTCCGGATGACACAACGTAAACGAAAAAAAAAATAAATAGACGGTTCAACTTATATTTTACAAACGGGTGGTTTTATAAGTAATAAAAACGGTTGAAAATGTCTCTTTCAAAATCCCGCATTGGTCGATCGTGTACGTATGCGTAAAAGGCTGCAGCAGCGGGTAAGTGTTCTTGGTGATCTGCCCCAGTAGCTATACGTTTCTTATTTTTTTTGTGCAGATTGGTACTATTGTCATTTATTTACCTGAAAAATAAAAGGCATTTTATATTCTTAATTATTCTTGCTCGTGAACTATTATTGAACGAAAAGAAATTATCTATTGTAGGAATATAGCTGAAGTATAAAAAAAGACTTATTTTGATTTTTTTTTTCAATTTGGTGAGCTCTTACTCCACCACTGTATGCATATATTTTCTAGTTTCTTTAAATCATTCAAAACCATATTTTTTCTAAATAAATCAAACAAGTGGGCGATAGTTGATAAGTAAAAAACTTTTTAATATTTAATATTTCCTTTTAACTGTCGTCTGGCTTAAGTTGTTAGATACTAAACATGTTTGTTTAAGAGAAAAAATCAATTTACAACTGTAATAACAAAAAGAATTGTTACCACCCAAAAAAAGTAGAAAACGAATTTTGTTCCCATTGGTTACGACTTAATGAGTATTTTATATTAAAATTCATTCAATCGATTATATTGATCACTATGGAAATGTTTTTTTTTTGCTGTTAAATAGTGGAATTTCCAATCTAAGGAGATAAAGATGCCAATAGTGTTAACGTATTTAGAAAAAAACACGTGAGACAATAACTTCAGGGGCAGTTCACCCATGCTTACACAATTAAGATACTCCAGCTTTTCCTTAGGTATAAGGAATTTTTTCCATTCGATATTTATTTTATTTAATTGACAATTGGGTTTCAAAAATTGAATTGTTTTATTTATTATTTCACCTTTTCCACTTATTTAAATACTGTCTAATTATAAGTTTCGCAGATGACTCTTTTAATGTATCATTGTGCATCATCATCATCGACTAATGTTGGGGGATAGAATTTCAATTGATGATATTTAAAAGTGCATTTCTCCAATACGACGACCCCGTTATTATTATTACTACTACTACTTTTTAATTATACTAAGTTTTTAATAATTTATTATTGGATCTCGTGTTTTCTTTTTAATCTCGATTACTGTTGGGTTTCCGTTCTATTACATACTACTTATTACATGATACTATATTTACTATAGAACTACATAGGTATAGTACTTCAGTCACTCCTAATTGTTTTTTGTTGAAAGTTGAAAAAAGAAAAAGTATGTGTAATTTTTGAAGTATAAAATCAAACTATTAAATGTATTTATATACGTGTATTTGTTATAAAAACCCGTTTAATTTTTTCATTTGTAAGTTCTGAAGAAATAAATGAATTTCTACAATAAATAGATTTACTGTTACTGCTTCAGTTCGGAAGATGAAGTACTACTAAAAAAACTATTGATTTATTTATTTCTTTATTTATTTACATGATAATCGAGGTTACCTTGTTTTAACTCAATAAACCTGTTGAATGTAATCTTACGAAATTTGATTATCGTAAGTGTTTTTTATTGTATAAAAAACTGATATAATATTTTCAGTGTACATTCGACGAAAAAGCGTGACATCTTTTGAGTTTCCTATTAAAGAAATGTAAAAAGGTGATCTTATTACCGTTATGAAATTTTGTTGTCGATCCGTCTGATCGTATGTCACTAGTGTTATTATCTACTAGCTATCCTACTTTTATTCCATACGAAGAATTTTTATTTTCACAAAAGGGGCCCAAAATTAGTGGAAGGATCGAAATTTAAAATTGAGATTCACGGGTCGGTCATACGAAAAGTTTCTCTGTACACTTTTCCAAACACTTTTTTTAATTTATAATTTAAAAGTATATTCTTTCTAATTTGTNATAAGTATTTGTAAAATTAAGCTGTAAATTGTATTTAAAAAAATATGAAAAGCAGAAAATATTCTTTCTTTGAACAAACCACCAATTTTGTTAAAAAAAGTAATGCTTTTAAATAATTAGTTAACTTAATGTGAAACTTTCAGTTTTTAAAATTGTTACCCATTTTTCTAGATGTGAGCGATGTATCTTCAGACGGGATTCATTAAGCTTATACATATTTATCTCGTAACATTTTACAATGGGCCTTTTAAATTATTAACAAGTGATGACTTGCTTATTAAAAGATATCATTCCCATAATTTGTTTTATCATTTTATAACATTTTGGACCTCCTTATTCTGTTTTTCCCTGTGAGAAATGTACGTTGTAAATATCAACTGTAAAAATGTAGAATATGAAATGTATTTGTTTGCAATATTTTTTTACCGTGAACAGCAAAATTAATTTATTGCGTTAAAAAGAAAGGTACAAAATATATTTTTATATTAATTAGTAATATACAAAATATATGTTGTATTGTTAAAAGATATGTCAGCATTTTCTTATAAAACGAAAAACTGTATATAATCTCGCGTGAAAATAACCAAAGAATTATATTTTGCACATTCCATTTTGTACTGAAGAAAAATAAACGTAAATTTGTGTAAAAATGACCAGTTTTGGTTATTTTCATTGTCTCCTTGGTCTTCTATTTAAATATTAGAGGGAGGAAATATTGTATAGATTTTTGCTAAGGATTTTAAGAACTGGTACAGTGTAATATAAAAACGACATATAATAAAAAAGATCCGCAGTTTTATTTTTTTCGTCATGTTTATTATTCTCAACCGATTTTATTTTATAGGTACCAAAGAAGGATTTTTTAAATCCTCTAAGGAAAATCCTTTAGTTATATCAGTGCAATCAGGTTCTGTTAAAATTCTTGAACCATTATCTTCAATAACAATAGTGTGCTCAAATTGTGCACTTCTGGAATCGTCCACACTTACTGCAGTCCAATTATCATTCAATATTTTCACTTCCCATGTTCCTTGTGATAATATGGGCTCTATTGTAAACGTCATTCCCACATCCATAGTGTATGGATAATCATTTTCTAAAATTTCGGAAACTTGGTAAGTATAATTTATTTTAATTTTAAAAGCTCAAACTAAATGTTTTTATATTTTAATTAATAAACGCACCAATATGATAAATATCTGGAGCCCCATGAAAATACTCCCCAATACCATGACCAGCAAAGATAGGTACTACAACATACCCCATTTCACTGGCCAACTTCTGAATGCAAGCCCCTATTTCACAAAATCTTACTCTTGGTTTACACATCGAAATTGCTACATCCAGAGATCGTTTAGTTGCTTGTATCAATCTTTTGCCTTTTTCATCAACAGAACCAACTCGAAAGGTTGCAGAACAGTCTCCGTGGTATCCATCACAGAACACCTAAATGTTATCATTTCTATGAATATGTACCAACACTATATTATTGTTTATATGTACTTACTGTTATGTCTACATTAATAATGTCACCATCTTCAAGTGGTCTATCATCAGGAATTCCATGACAAGCCACATTATTGACTGATGTACAAATTGACTTTGGAAAAAAATTATAATTTAATGGAGATGGATAAGCATCATTTATGATACTCAAATTGTGGGCAATAGTGTCTATTTCATCTGTAGTTTGGCCTATCTACAGACAACTATTTAAAATGGGCAACAAAAATAAGAATTATAGTATAAAAGTAGGATCTTACATAAATTGTGCTTCCTATGTATTTTAAAATATTGGCAGCCAATACACAACTCCTTTGCATCTTTAATATTTGTTCATTGCTTTTTGTTTCAGGGTATTGAGGCCCATTTGATGGGATCCCTGTTTCATAATAGCATGGTTTTAAAATATATTGAGGAATAAGTTTCTTTGATGATAATTTACCAGGTTTAACAACAGAATATCGGCCAAAATCTAAACTTCAATAGAAAAATATGTTAGAAACTAATTAAGTTAATGTAATGCTAACTATTTACCCCTTACTTCTCAACCAAAGTTTTCGAAATGAGTATGTTAAAGGCATTCTCACAAGGGACTTTTTAATCATTATTTCTTCCTCATAAATATAAAATGATAAATGCACCATCCACTTCTACAAATAAATAAATAAAAAGGTAAACATTTTATGTTTATTGTTAAACAAATTATGTATGAACCTTTACAAAATAAATACTTAACAGCAACAAACACGAGTTGCTTAACTTAAAATTGAAATATGTATTGCATATATTAATAAATATTTCTCAGTTAACACATTAGTAATTTAAAACGTTCTACTAATACATGATATATACAAGATATTATTTTTGTTTTATATTCGTATTTAATATGGTATTTAATTTTATTTTATGGTATTTGATGTTATCCGTATATATGCATTACACCTAGGATGTAACCAGTTATGTAATGAACAATAGGTTATGTTATTAGTAGCATAGATATTAATCTGGTGGTTTACTAAGTAGTAGTGTGAAACTGGCACCCGATATAAATAACCCACTAATTCCAACTTCACCGGTAAATTGTGCGTCGTTTGCGGGCTCTAAATATGTAAGTATCATAATTGTGCATCTATTACTTTTGATAAAAAAAAAGAAAATTATTTCGGGTGCAGATGGAAACTAAATTTTTAATTATTGAAAAACTACTGAAGGTATGATATCTTAATTGACGCCAATTGATTGCGTGTCATTTGTGCTTGAAGAATGAACTATTATGGTGAGCGGAGTTTATTTTTATATTATTTATTAGTAATGATTATAAATAATACTAAATAAATCCTAAGCAGTCAAAAGTATTCTTCGTTTAATACATTTGTTGAACATGCTTGATTGCTACGGTACGAAAAGACAACACGAACCGAGTGTTATCACACAATATTCTGCTTCTGGTTGCGATGTATAAAGTTAAAGGTGCAAGGGTTCATATTTTTATAATTTACTTTCTTAGTAATGTTCAAATAGAAATGAGACACGATAATGTATAGACACTACTTACCGCGTCACGTGACTGGAGGCGGTACATTGTTCAAATAGGGACTATCTATGGAAGGAATACACTATTATCTATGGAATACACATAAAAAGAGAGATACCGAAGATCATGAAAGAAATGAAATAGACTACTGTAGCTACTGGAGGAGATGTAATTCCGTCTTGATCTGTTTGGTGTATGAAGTGAAATACGTGAATTATAGCATAAGTGTAAAACGTTAATAAAGTTTATGCAGTGGACAAAGTTCAAAAATACTGTCTGGAACAGATAAGCGACTATGTAATTTTAAAAAAATGTCAGCAGTATACTCGTATACAAGTACGTTATGTATGAAGAAAGACCTGTACCTGAGAAGCAAATCTTGTAAATTGATATTAATATTCACTGTCTTTCATGGTTAGTAATGGGTTTGTATTTTTTTTTAGTTTTAATTCGACTTTTGCGTTATCATAGAATCAATTATAAAAAATCAATAAGCAAGTTTAACAACCCTAATTATTTATTGTTGTTATTAATAAACAGAAAATATCATCAACTCTATTTTCCAGGAATTGTAGTGCACAAGCAGTTATAATGCATTATACTACAGGAATATATGTACTTTTACATGTTGCATTGTTGCCTTCAATTACTGGTGCTAGTGATGAAAATGGGGATAATTCAAAGGAGTCTTATGTGATCTGTGCAAGATCAATCGGATCTATTCAGCTTGTTAAAGATGCAGAGATTTCAGCACTTGAATTAAATTCTACAAACCTCACAATTACCTGCAGGACAAACTACTGTTATGCTTATTGGGAGGAAGATATGACAGGAAACGTTGCTGATTTAAGCCAAGGTGTGTATTTTTTCACTTATTTTTAATTAAAAGGTACTGATAATTATAAATGAAACTATAAGTTCATTGTTCTTTTGAAAAAATAATTAAATGAAATATATTTTATTTGTTATATGTGTTAAATGTGTTTTTAATCCTTTTAAGCAGGTTTCATTGTTTATTAAAGAGATGAATTTGCTCCAGACTAAATAGAATGTTATGCTTTTAATGTGCTTCTCAATTTCTCTATTTCTCTGGCTGTTATATTTATTTATTTTGGATCAACAGGCATTAAATCCTTTTTACATTATACATAGTCAATTTAATTTGAATTTCTATTAATAGCCACAATGATATTCAGTACCATATTTGTTAGTGGTCAAAGTTACTAAAGTCATCTGTGACAAAGCATAAATAACTTAATTATGTTTTTATTTGTTTTAATTTTAAATGATACTGACTATAAGAGTTAACAGTTGCCAACAGTATAACATATACGTAGAAGTGTTGTCTTCCAAAAATAAAAAAGTTTGACGGCAAAGCAAAAATTTTCATTAACTAAAATTTTCACTAACTTAAATATAATTGATTGTATTTAGGAGGGTCATGTTGTGAAAGTTTAACTGCATTACGTGACTCTTCTTTATGGGTAACATGATAGTAGTAGAGCAGTGTTAATAAAAAATAATGAAAAAGTTTAATAAAAAATACTGAAAAAGTTGACCCATTCAGTCGTTAAGAAAATAGTTCATTTTTAAGAAATTCGTTTTCATTCATGGTATGTATGTTTATATAAAAATTTCAGCAAATTAATGTAATGTCACATAAAATCAATTATGAACATTTCTTTTTTTTATGAAATTTGGTGAAGTTAGTTTTTATTTAAATGCTTGTTTTATGAAAATTGGTTAAATTTTATTACAAAAAAAATTAATAGCTGTTATCATTATCAAAATATAAACATTTTTACTGATAAATTTGAGTTTGGTTCATTTTTACCTTTATAATTTAAAAAAAATTACCTTTTACTTTCTACTGACAATAAAGAAAAAACAATGAGCGTGAAATAATTTTTAATTTTTCTCACGCTCTTCAAATCCTTATTCAATCATACACAGGCCTTTAACAAGTAATTGCATTTAAAACTTTAAGTGGAAGTTATGGAGCTCGAGATAAAAAAATGTCTACACTTTAAAGTGTTTATTTTAAGAACTCTAAAAACAAAAAGTGTATTTAAATACATACATGCATTATCTGTTATGTACACATATTACAAAGTATTATAAACTGATATCCATTTGAAATTAGCGGATGAAGTCATGTGCAGTAGCTGCTTGAAGTGATTTAATGATACGATTTACAGGACAGAGCCATGTGTTAATTCTAATGCTACTTAGAGCCATGTGTATTTTTTCATTAAACATATTTAATACCACTTGTTGTTCTGACTGTGAGAATTCTATTTATGTGTGTTATTTGATGTTTAAAAAGTAATTATATTATTATTATCATCATCTATTTGCCAAAATTCTGTTACTACCAAGGGCTGAGAATACTAAAAAATGATAACAATATATATATAATAAGACAATAAAAATTAAGTTCATGATAATAAATATATCCATTTTATAACTAGATTAGATTACAAATTTTTACTACAATCGAACAGTCGATGTTCTAATGTATGTATACAATTCAAACTTCGATAACTGGAGTTTTTAATAACTCAAACAAAATTACCTGACAGCAGCAAGTTTACAACTCGAAGAACATTATGAACTGTGTAGTCTTTAATTTTTACAATGCAACTCATGGAAATCATAAATAAACAGATATTTATTTTGCCAGTAATGATTTTTTATTAATTGTTGATTTCCAAAGCTTGTTTGCTTATATATTTTTACTATGTATAAAGTTCACAAAATCGACCATCTGTACATTTTGCTAGAGAATTTACCTACAAAATGATGTGTACCTAATAGATTCTCCTAAGACAATATACAGCAGTAAGAGTTATTTGAATGAAATAATAATTATTTTTTTCCCATGTTATTTTTATGCAAAACCTTAAAATCATTTATCTTTGAATTAAGAGTTCATCTTAATTTTGATAAGAAGTAAATTATAAATTCATTAAAAGTTGCCCAAGTATCATTGGAACATGTAATAATTGAAGAATTTAAAATGATTTTTCCATTCAAAAAGATTTTTATTAGATGTCACACTAGAGCTTTGCAGGTATATCAATTTATTGTGTTCACTAGAACAATTTTAAATGTAGCATCTAATAAAAATATTTTCGAATGGAAAAATCCTTATAAAGTTATAAATTTCTTGTTTGTACATATACAGGTTGTTGGAAAAGTTCAGGCAGACCTGCAGATTGCGAACGTAATGAGTGTTTATCAGACAAAAGACCCCCAAAAGGAAAAAACAACACAAAATTTTGCTGTTGCTCAGGCGATTTATGTAACGCGAACTTCACAAGCATAGCTGTGCCCGAAGAGGAACGAATTTTAACTTCGACCCCACCCATTGAAGACGTCCCCAAGTTAAGCCTGAGTCCTTTAATATGGGTTGTATCTGGTGTGTCGTTTGTATTTTTTATGATATGTTCCGGAACTTTAGCCTTTTTCTGCTGGCATATGAAACCTAAGAAAAATGATATCGAAGTGGGACAACCACCTATGCCAACCCCCGAAGAATTTAATTTAGAAAAGTTAAAACTTTGTGGAATTATAGGTACTTACTTACTAATTTAATTACTGTTTTTTTTTTTCAAATAAGATTGTTTTGTTTTTAAAGGTCAAGGTCGTTATGGTTGCGTATATCGCGGTATGATAGAAGACCAAGAAGTAGCAGTTAAAGTTTTTTTACCTCATCATCGCAACTATTTCATTAATGAACATGAAATCTATAAGTTAGTAGGTGATAACGCGTCCCTTCTTAAATGTTTTGGGGGTGGAGAACGGAACCAAACTCCTGGAGCACCCTCTGATTATGTTCTTATATTCAGCCTTGAACAGCAATGTCTTCAGGAGTACTTAAAAAATCACACCCTTGATTTGGCTACATTATGCAAAATGAGCTTGGGAATTGCAAAAGGACTTGCTCATTTGCATTCTAACTACAAGAAACCTTGTATCGCTCATAGAGATATCAACACTAGAAATGTATTAGTCAAACACGATCAGACTTGTGTAATCTGCGATTTGGGACTTGCTGTTGTTCCCAAAAAAACCGAAAATCATTCCCTAAGCGAAGCAGGTAAATCATGATTTCTCGTTTATGCCCTAAATTTTTTTATCATTACTTGATGTCCTTTTGTGTAGGTACTTTACGCTACATGGCTCCGGAAGTTCTGGAAGGAGCGGTGAACCTGAGAGATTGTGAGAGTGCATTGAAACAGATTGATGTATATGCCCTTGGTTTAGTATTATGGGAATTAGGCACGCGATGTACCGATATGCAAGCAGCCGAGCCCCAGCCGTACGCTTTGCCTTTTTATCGCGAAGTCGGAGAAAATCCGTCACTCGAACAAATGCAAACATTGATTAGTAGACACAAGGCACGTCCTTTGTGGCCTCCCTCATGGAAAGATACCGCAGCTGCAAGACTTTTCTGTGAAACAACAGAAGACTGTTGGGATCAGGTATTTTAAGAAATTTATTTATATAAAACTAGTTGAGTCCACCAAAATTTGGACCGATGGTACCGTTGTCGATAGTCTATATCTGTAGCGCATTACTTATGTCGATCAGGAAATTTTTTTCTCACTTAACCTAAACCCATGGTGCACAGCATTGACAATCAAGAAATCCTTTCACACCATAATTCAACCATTCATATTATTAATAAACGATTACCATAAAATACCCCTAACTGTGATTGATTAAACCCTTGGATCGTAAATACGTAGTAACTAAAGAGTATTTTATTACGCCAAGCAAAACATTAGATCACATTTATTTATATTCATAGGAAGACCATTATCGTCTTTTTAAAGACGTTTGCTAACAATTAAAATTGTTTTCAGGACGCTGAGGCTCGTTTGACCTCTCTTTGTGTAGAAGAGCGTCTTCTAGAACTTCCAACGCTTAAAGGACGCGTCTTGCACCCCATGCACCCGCCTGCCAGCCCTACTCCTTTGATTAACAACAACCACCTCCATGATAACACCATGGACTCTTCCGTAGGAACCATCGAAACCTTGTTATCACCTACGGAAGAAAATTGTAAAAATTCGAATCAATTGGTTCCCTGTGTGGCTCCTTTACAACCCTTCCAAGGTCGTAATCCATGCCTGGAACGTAATCTATTACTGGGTTCTAGTGATTGTCTTTTAGTCGATAAATCTTCAAAGCATTGTAACAGTTCAGAGTCTCAGAATCTTCTTACCAACGATTTCCTCAATTTCCACCTTAACCACCGAGCAACTCCGATTCCCTATGTTCAAAACGCCGTACACGGGAGCCCTAAGCGATACAATTGTGCCGTAAACGTGGCCCCAAAAGCTTCAAGGTTTAAATGGAACGGATTTAAAAATCTTTTCAATAACAGAAAGAAGTGCAACAATTATTGTTCTACTTCTTCGGAATGTAAAGAAACCAAAGTTCAAATGGCTCCTGCAAAATTAGTCAATGGTAATTTTGGACAGAATGAAGTCACCACTATGTTACTAAACGAAAATGAAACGAAGGACTGCAAACGTCCTAGTAGTTTGTCTTTAAAAAAGAGGAACTGTGAGGATGAAAAAAATAATTGTAATAATACTGCAGGAGTTGCACAATTACTCAAAAAAGACAAGTCTCTCAGGTTACAGAGATCGCTGGAGCAGTTCAGTGAAGTTTTTTCTTCCTCCAGCGATTTATCGAAACTCAAGGACCCTTCAGTTAGAGTAAAGACTCCAGGCGACGTGCCTCCTTCCGTGAGAAGGACCAGGGGAAAAGCGGCCAATGATTCCGCCCGGTTTTCTTTATATGACGATAGAATTATGACACAAGGTCAGTGGGGTAGCACACCTACTTTAAATCCCCAGCAACAGGAAACTCAACGGTCTAACAGTAATCTGCAGGACAGAGACAGTATCAGTAGCTTTTAAAGTTTTACATTTAATTCGCTATTTTTTTTTTATTATTTATTACTCGAATTTTTATTTCGATATAAATGAACATTTGTTGTCACTTTTTGGCAACAAAATTATTATAAATATTAATTTTGTAGAGCTTTAATGTTTTAATATGCTTACAACTTTTGGTATTCATTTACCTTAAATAAAGTCAATTAAAAGTACAATGTTCCTTTAAAAAAATCCTTAACTATCAAACAGTAATAAAATACAAATTTCTTATACTACCAGTTTTTTAAGACTTATATATACTATAATACTATACGAATATTATATATTATTAACAATTTCATTGTTAAGAATTGGCTTATTTTAAAATTGTTTAATGTACTCTTTATACTTTTGATCTTCTGCAACAGTAACAGTTCTTTTAATTTTTTCAACAGCTTTAATTAGGTCGCTGATTTGTGCGTTTCTGACCTTGGCACAATTACGGGGAATTTCATTAATCCCACAATAAATAACGTTAAAATGTTCATTTTCCATAGCTGGTTCATACATATTAAAATCTGTCATTTTCCATTTCTTATTCTCAATTAATTCAGTAACAGGTACACTCAGTGCATTTTGAACCAGATTGGCCAAGTCTGAGCCAGAAAAGCCTTCTGTTTGTGTGATTATTGGACCCCAGCTGTCTTTAGTTTTTGCCAAGGTGGTTTTTTCAGTGTAATAATTTAACAGTTCGAATCTTTCTTGTCTATCGGGGAGTGGAACATAAATTCGTTTTTGGAAACGTCTTAAAAAAGCAGAGTCTAAGTCCCAAGGGCAGTTGGTTGCACATATCAGAATTGCATTCTTATTAGAGTTGAAATCGTTCAACTGACACATAAGTTCTGTCTTTAATCTGAAACGTCAATTTTAGTGAAAGGATTTATTTTAATTCCTTAATTCACCTTCTGCTAGATTCTTGCTCCTCTCCGGTCCTTTTTCTACATATTCCATCTATTTCATCAATAAAAAGTATTGACATTGAAGGAGAATTCTTTATTTGTGTAAAAACGGTTTTAATCATCCTTAAAAAAAGTTAAATTTTTTCTTTTTGTGGCGTACGAAATATAAGTAAGATATCAAGTGAACGTACTTTTCTGTTTTCCCAATATATTCGCTTAAAATATCGCTAGGTGAAATACAATAAAGTTTACAGGTGATTTCGGATGCTAAAGCATGAGCGATTCGGGTTTTCCCCGTTCCCGGTGGTCCAAAAAGTAGTAAAGAATTGACGGTATTTAAAAGCCCAACAAACAGCTGAGGCTGTTGTAAGGGCAAAATAAAATGGGCTTGAAGTGTTTTTTTTATTTCATTACACCCAATTACTTCATGAAAACCGCATATTTGGGGAATCACTTCTGTAATTTGAAATTCTTTTAAACTATCAGAACGCGTTTCCATTTGCTCAGCAGAATTATTCTTCTGACAATTTTCTAAATTTAGTAATGATGCAGCTGGAATTTTTATTTCTATTAAAGCCCTTTTTCTTCCTAAATTAATTGTTTGTTTAATTATTGAACTCCTTATATGTTCAAACGCCTGAAACAACTTAGGGTAATTTTTATTCGTACAAATTTAACATTAATTTGAAGCTTACATGTTTGAAATTATTGTTGGGTTCAACAGCAATTAAATAATCAACAGTGTCTTTACAAAAACTCAATTTTTCATAAATAACTTTCGTATTAATCTCATTCTTAATTTCTTCGTATCTGTGAATAAAAATATTAGCAAAAAAGCAACATAACCTGGAGTAACTTTTAAATATACTTTCTCAAAAGATCTTTATACATTTTTAATACCATTTGTACATAAATTAGTGCTCTAATAAAACAAATTTAAATTCACGTGGAAAGTTAGTAACAGCAGGTAACAGCATGCCATAAATACTGTAAGCGACCTTTTTAGATTTGAAAATTTTTATTACTGACCCCTCTCGGTAAGTAGTGAAAGTACAGTCTTTTATTTGATTCTATGTGAATTCTCTTTTACCAACCGCATTTGACGTTTCTTTAATACATTTAATATGTCGCATCATGTCTCAATTTTGACGTGTGGGTAGTGTGATTACATTTTGATTAAGGTGTTTCTAGGTCATTCCAGCTCAATTGAAGTTGAAATTCTTAATGTGATTGATATTCATTCATATCCGGCGTTTGCAACTCTAATTTTTTGGTAAGTGTATGTCGTAGTACTTTTAAAATCAAATGTTACATTTGAACGCTTGTTTTCTGTTAGATAAGCTAAGATTGCGGTATTTTGTTTGAATTGTATGAAAAGCAAGGGAATGTCACTTTATTCTGGAGTAGATAATATCTTAATAATTCAAGTTAGTTAGTTTTATTAGCAGTTGTACATTTCTACTAATCTTTATACTTCGTTAAGTATGAACCACTCGCATGACGGTTTATGGGCATGTTTTTAAGTACAAAACCAATTAGTGTGTGCAATCACTCTTGTGGGTAGTTGAATATATTAATGGCAGTTGCATATAATTTTTTATTCTGCGGCAACATACATTAGCTTTAAGCATTTTATTGTACACTGAGGTCCACACCTAATTATTCGTATACCACAACATATACATTTTTATTTCAGTTGTCACTTAATTATTTAAGCACATTCATCGTTATTTATTTATTTTGTAAATTTAATATAATTTCCACCATTTAATTTATAAAAGGAAAACGGCAATAATTAATTGGTACTACAAAGTACAAACAAAATCATCACCCGAATTTGCGCTGTGCACATAGTCCCATAGTGTTTCCAAATGGGATTATGATTCTTTTGCACATGGTTCCATCTGTAAATCGAAATATAAATTTAAAGCGGTTTTTGCTAATCTTAAATTAAATTAGGTTAGAATAGGTTATGGTTTGGTTAGGTTGCTTCTATTTCTTTTGTAATATTCAATCTTTCATCACCACCCCATATCACTCCATTCCCCCTTCCCCGCCAAAAAACAGCTGTAGTACTGTACAGGGTCATTCCCGCCTCTTCCTTCTACTTTTCACCTTCCCGCATAATACATGAGAGCCTTACATCTACATGTATATACACCTGACACATATTTATTCATATCCATCAGCAATATTTGTAATACATGTTTTAATTAGTCACTGAGGTAGGTAGATATTAATACATGTATTTGTTTACATTTACGGTATTCAGGATTACATTTTTCTTATTTGGTTTTTTTTGTTCCAATCACAATAATAATTATTTTTCCCAGGATTGTAGGGAAACAGGAAGATTAGTTAATACGCCTTATTACTTAGGCAACGTTTCGCAGATATATTTGTGCTTCTTTAGGCGATCATAATATACCTACATAGTTTATATATCGACGAAGGTAGAGTTAATATATTATATGATCTCCTGAAGAAGCAGAATTGCATCTGCGAAACGTTGCGTAAAATAATAAAGTGTATTAACGAACCTCCCTGTTCCACTACAATCCTAGAAGAAATAATTATTCTTATTTTGTTAATTAAATCACATTTGTATAAAATCAGTTAAAAAAGATCGAAAACTACAGTTGCAATTCATTCAGAAATTTTAAATTCCAACAAAAAAATTAAAATCACCTTTCATTCTAGTATTTTTTTATATGCCCCTTGTAGATATTTTGTCTAGCGATAAACTTTGAATAGCCTGACATGTTTTTGTAAACCTTTACTTCTCGATCTGAAAATAATTTCGATGCAGTCTATGACTCACACACATGCTTACTCAGGTAAAAATACAACTGCAAAAACGGTACCTGTCCTCATTTGGTTGATTTTTTTTTTCATAAGCCATTCAACAGCACATCTGCACATGCATTTAATAACAGTTAATTTTTATGATAGTTAAATCACAATTATTTTAAAATGACGTTTACTGATAATATTGTGAGCGTTAAAAAAGTATAATTTTAAATTATAAACATTTCTTTTCTAATGTTTTTTTTTTGCTGTCGGTGCAATATTTGTAATTAAAAAGATCGGTTTTTTATGTTATATTCGTAATCACAGTGTGTACTGTAAAGCTGTTTTATATCCAATTAGTTTTTGAAATACTCTCGTATTGGTAGTTGTTAAAAAGGGAGCGTGGAAATGAAGCGGTTTAAATAAGAAAATGTTACAGGAGTGAACGAACAAAATAACATTTAACACAAAATAACAAGTTCATTTTTTTTTGGAGGGGATCATACGGGGAAAATAAACACAAATTTGTAGAGAAAATTTCATTTTCTGTATTTGAACCCATAATCAGTCTTGTTTTCTTTTGATTAAATGGATAACAATAACAATCAGTTTCATTATAATTTAAAAAAAATTACCTTTTACTTTCTACTGACAATAAAGAAAAAACAATGAGCGTGAAATAATTTTTAATTTTTCTCACGCTCTTCAAATCCTTATTCAATCATACACAGGCCTTTAACAAGTAATTGCATTTAAAACTTTAAGTGGAAGTTATGGAGCTCGAGATAAAAAAATGTCTACACTTTAAAGTGTTTATTTTAAGAACTCTAAAAACAAAAAGTGTATTTAAATACATACATGCATTATCTGTTATGTACACATATTACAAAGTATTATAAACTGATATCCATTTGAAATTAGCGGATGAAGTCATGTGCAGTAGCTGCTTGAAGTGATTTAATGATACGATTTACAGGACAGAGCCATGTGTTAATTCTAATGCTACTTAGAGCCATGTGTATTTTTTCATTAAACATATTTAATACCACTTGTTGTTCTGACTGTGAGAATTCTATTTATGTGTGTTATTTGATGTTTAAAAAGTAATTATATTATTATTATCATCATCTATTTGCCAAAATTCTGTTACTACCAAGGGCTGAGAATACTAAAAAATGATAACAATATATATATAATAAGACAATAAAAATTAAGTTCATGATAATAAATATATCCATTTTATAACTAGATTAGATTACAAATTTTTACTACAATCGAACAGTCGATGTTCTAATGTATGTATACAATTCAAACTTCGATAACTGGAGTTTTTAATAACTCAAACAAAATTACCTGACAGCAGCAAGTTTACAACTCGAAGAACATTATGAACTGTGTAGTCTTTAATTTTTACAATGCAACTCATGGAAATCATAAATAAACAGATATTTATTTTGCCAGTAATGATTTTTTATTAATTGTTGATTTCCAAAGCTTGTTTGCTTATATATTTTTACTATGTATAAAGTTCACAAAATCGACCATCTGTACATTTTGCTAGAGAATTTACCTACAAAATGATGTGTACCTAATAGATTCTCCTAAGACAATATACAGCAGTAAGAGTTATTTGAATGAAATAATAATTATTTTTTTCCCATGTTATTTTTATGCAAAACCTTAAAATCATTTATCTTTGAATTAAGAGTTCATCTTAATTTTGATAAGAAGTAAATTATAAATTCATTAAAAGTTGCCCAAGTATCATTGGAACATGTAATAATTGAAGAATTTAAAATGATTTTTCCATTCAAAAAGATTTTTATTAGATGTCACACTAGAGCTTTGCAGGTATATCAATTTATTGTGTTCACTAGAACAATTTTAAATGTAGCATCTAATAAAAATATTTTCGAATGGAAAAATCCTTATAAAGTTATAAATTTCTTGTTTGTACATATACAGGTTGTTGGAAAAGTTCAGGCAGACCTGCAGATTGCGAACGTAATGAGTGTTTATCAGACAAAAGACCCCCAAAAGGAAAAAACAACACAAAATTTTGCTGTTGCTCAGGCGATTTATGTAACGCGAACTTCACAAGCATAGCTGTGCCCGAAGAGGAACGAATTTTAACTTCGACCCCACCCATTGAAGACGTCCCCAAGTTAAGCCTGAGTCCTTTAATATGGGTTGTATCTGGTGTGTCGTTTGTATTTTTTATGATATGTTCCGGAACTTTAGCCTTTTTCTGCTGGCATATGAAACCTAAGAAAAATGATATCGAAGTGGGACAACCACCTATGCCAACCCCCGAAGAATTTAATTTAGAAAAGTTAAAACTTTGTGGAATTATAGGTACTTACTTACTAATTTAATTACTGTTTTTTTTTTTCAAATAAGATTGTTTTGTTTTTAAAGGTCAAGGTCGTTATGGTTGCGTATATCGCGGTATGATAGAAGACCAAGAAGTAGCAGTTAAAGTTTTTTTACCTCATCATCGCAACTATTTCATTAATGAACATGAAATCTATAAGTTAGTAGGTGATAACGCGTCCCTTCTTAAATGTTTTGGGGGTGGAGAACGGAACCAAACTCCTGGAGCACCCTCTGATTATGTTCTTATATTCAGCCTTGAACAGCAATGTCTTCAGGAGTACTTAAAAAATCACACCCTTGATTTGGCTACATTATGCAAAATGAGCTTGGGAATTGCAAAAGGACTTGCTCATTTGCATTCTAACTACAAGAAACCTTGTATCGCTCATAGAGATATCAACACTAGAAATGTATTAGTCAAACACGATCAGACTTGTGTAATCTGCGATTTGGGACTTGCTGTTGTTCCCAAAAAAACCGAAAATCATTCCCTAAGCGAAGCAGGTAAATCATGATTTCTCGTTTATGCCCTAAATTTTTTTATCATTACTTGATGTCCTTTTGTGTAGGTACTTTACGCTACATGGCTCCGGAAGTTCTGGAAGGAGCGGTGAACCTGAGAGATTGTGAGAGTGCATTGAAACAGATTGATGTATATGCCCTTGGTTTAGTATTATGGGAATTAGGCACGCGATGTACCGATATGCAAGCAGCCGAGCCCCAGCCGTACGCTTTGCCTTTTTATCGCGAAGTCGGAGAAAATCCGTCACTCGAACAAATGCAAACATTGATTAGTAGACACAAGGCACGTCCTTTGTGGCCTCCCTCATGGAAAGATACCGCAGCTGCAAGACTTTTCTGTGAAACAACAGAAGACTGTTGGGATCAGGTATTTTAAGAAATTTATTTATATAAAACTAGTTGAGTCCACCAAAATTTAGACAGATGGTACCGTTGTCGATAGTCTATATCTGTAGCGCATTACTTATGTCGATCAGGAAATTTTTTTCTCACTTAACCTAAACCCATGGTGCACAGCATTGACAATCAAGAAATCCTTTCACACCATAATTCAACCATTCATATTATTAATAAACGATTACCATAAAATACCCCTAACTGTGATTGATTAAACCCTTGAATCGTAAATACGTAGTAACTAAAGAGTATTTTATTACGCCAAGCAAAACATTAGATCATATTTATTTATATTCATAGGAAGACCATTATCGTCTTTTTAAAGACGTTTGCTAACAATTAAAATTGTTTTCAGGACGCTGAGGCTCGTTTGACCTCTCTTTGTGTAGAAGAGCGTCTTCTAGAACTTCCAACGCTTAAAGGACGCGTCTTGCACCCCATGCACCCGCCTGCCAGCCCTACTCCTTTGATTAACAACAACCACCTCCATGATAACACCATGGACTCTTCCGTAGGAACCATCGAAACCTTGTTATCACCTACGGAAGAAAATTGTAAAAATTCGAATCAATTGGTTCCCTGTGTGGCTCCTTTACAACCCTTCCAAGGTCGTAATCCATGCCTGGAACGTAATCTATTACTGGGTTCTAGTGATTGTCTTTTAGTCGATAAATCTTCAAAGCATTGTAACAGTTCAGAGTCTCAGAATCTTCTTACCAACGATTTCCTCAATTTCCACCTTAACCACCGAGCAACTCCGATTCCCTATGTTCAAAACGCCGTACACGGGAGCCCTAAGCGATACAATTGTGCCGTGAACGTGGCCCCAAAAGCTTCAAGGTTTAAATGGAACGGATTTAAAAATCTTTTCAATAACAGAAAGAAGTGTAACAATTATTGTTCTACTTCTTCGGAATGTAAAGAAACCAAAGTTCAAATGGCTCCTGCAAAATTAGTCAATGGTAATTTTGGACAGAATGAAGTCACCACTATGTTACTAAACGAAAATGAAACGAAGGACTGCAAACGTCCTAGTAGTTTGTCTTTAAAAAAGAGGAACTGTGAGGATGAAAAAAATAATTGTAATAATACTGCAGGAGTTGCACAATTACTCAAAAAAGACAAGTCTCTCAGGTTACAGAGATCGCTGGAGCAGTTCAGTGAAGTTTTTTCTTCCTCCAGCGATTTATCGAAACTCAAGGACCCTTCAGTTAGAGTAAAGACTCCAGGCGACGTGCCTCCTTCCGTGAGAAGGACCAGGGGAAAAGCGGCCAATGATTCCGCCCGGTTTTCTTTATATGACGATAGAATTATGACACAAGGTCAGTGGGGTAGCACACCTACTTTAAATCCCCAGCAACAGGAAACTCAACGGTCTAACAGTAATCTGCAGGACAGAGACAGTATCAGTAGCTTTTAAAGTTTTACATTTAATTCGCTATTTTTTTTTTATTATTTATTACTCGAATTTTTATTTCGATATAAATGAACATTTGTTGTCACTTTTTGGCAACAAAATTATTATAAATATTAATTTTGTAGAGCTTTAATGTTTTAATATGCTTACAACTTTTGGTATTCATTTACCTTAAATAAAGTCAATTAAAAGTACAATGTTCCTTTAAAAAAATCCTTAACTATCAAAC